ATCCTGCTCACTTAAGAACTATTTTCATTTACATTTCTCCTTCTTGCTTATGAGTACCCACATTTTGAGCACTTTTGTGGGTCTGCTGGTGCACAGGGTGGGCTGGAGCTGTGCCGGCATCGCTCTGTGGTCAGTGGTGGGGGTGCCCAGGGCCAGGGCAGAGTCCCTGCCAGGGCAATAGAAAACAGAAATAGTCTGCTCTGACACAAGGGAGTTCCTGGCAGCGTGAGTCACTGTCTGTTCCCCAAAGCCTGTTCTGATTTTCCCCTGGGATTATGTGCTTTTCTCAGTCAATTTTGATGTAGCAGGGAGCTACAGCGTGTACTGACCCCTGGCTCCAAGTCTTGGCCTCTAAAAGCAAATGAACTGGACATGTTCTGCCCGTAAAACCTCTGCTCCACCACAGTTTTGTGGTCTAGCTGAGGGCAATCTAATTTAAGCAATACATGCATTTGTAAACCAACAGGACTGCTAATTATTTTTCTGAAATAATGCAAAATTTCAATCATATGAGATACGAAGTCAGGCCCACTGCTAGTGGAGTCATCTACACACAAAAATATAGTTTTCACTTTGCAGAGAAGGGAACTACCTTGTCTAGTTTGTTTGTCTGACCTTCATAAAGCATTAAAACACTCACCAGAAGTGATCTTTTTATACTCTGAAAGATTTTCTTAGGCAAAAGATATTACATTTTTTTGAGGATCTGTAAAGGTGCTGTTTTTTCTTAGCTGAAGATGGGTTTATAATATTACTTCTTGTTCCATGGTATTGTGCCAACATAGAACCCAAGAGTACATAACAGATCTTAATAAAATTACTTCCAATGTTTTTGCAATAAAAGCATTGGAAAACTGAAGGCAAATAGTAAAAGTAAGGTGGCAACGTAGATTGATTTCTCCTAAAGCCTTCAACAAAGCAGGTGATTAACACAGAATAGAAGAATTCAGTTTAGTACAGTGGAAGAAGTTTATTACTTTTTGTCATTGATGTAAAAGTTTGGCACAAGCATTTGCTTTTAAGATTTTTAAAGAAAAAACTGGAGACTGCACTTAGTCTTGCACTCAGTCACATTCAGGTGAGAGAATTTATCCAACTACTCTACATTCCTATGTGCTTCCTACACATCAGGTTATCACATAGCTTTTACTGCCTGCTTAGGATCAAGGATTTGAGCCTACTTCCAACCCCTCCGTGGTGAATGTCCAAACGTCTGGGCTTTTCCTTCACTCTCTTTCTCTGTTTGTTTTAAAATAAAAGTAAGAAAAAAAGTTTCTTAGACCCTGAGTAATCTAATGAGCAAAATTTCCTTCAAAACAAAAATTGATGTACAATCAGAAAATTAGAAAATTCTGTAATCCAGAGGATATTATGTGATGTAGTACCTAATACACATCCTGGGGTCTCCAGAAGGTCCCTCCTTGCAATCCTAACATTAGCTACTGGCTTCTTCTTTTCTCTTCAATAAGAATAGGCTTTGGGCCAAGATTCTTTGGTCCAAACCAACTTTGTCTCTCCTGTGCTGTCTTGTTGGCTGTTACCTCCAGTGCTGATGCGTTTTTTGCCTGCCTGCCTACATCCGCATCTGCAGCCAAGCTCTGACATGCTGCAGTGTGTGTACCATTCCTCAAGAACTATGGGATCTTTCCCAGGAGAGCTGTATAGCTGTAAAGTGCTTTGAATGCTCAACTTTTTTCCATAAATTATCTTGTAACATCGTTATTTTTTTTTGTGCCTCTCACTGAACAAATTCCCTGTTATGATTTAGCAGGGGCATTAACAACATGGTGCATGACCAGAGGAGAAGGCTGAAGCCAGAAAGGAGGGAGGATACGAAAAAAATTAGCGCTGTAACTAAGTGTGAGTGCCATCAATTTAGTCACAGGAAGGATTAGGCCGAAGTCTGCAGTGTTAAACACATTAGCTTTAAACACCTTGATAGTCCTACTGGCGTCATCAAGGGGGTTTGCTGTGATTAATCAGCTGGGTTGAGTCCTGGCTTGTCAGCCTCAGTGCCTGTTATTTGTCTAGGACACCCTGAAAATTTAGTTAACCCCCTGGGACTTTGTATCATCAGCATGGTTATTTTCATATCTGTATCTCGATCTACAAACTGGGGATTTCCTCTTAGGTCTGTTCTGCAGCTTCAGGAGGCCATGCACCCTTGTTCCAAGCATTTTGATTTTGCTGCACTTAAACACTAGAGCTTGGCAAAACTATCAGTTAAACCCTTTCATATTTGTTCTCACATTTAAGCTTTTTTTTCCCCAAGCCTTTCCACATTATATGCATTCACTTGGTCTATTTTAGCAAATGACTTTGCATGTACCAGCTCTGCACATTTTTCCTGCACACGCAATTACCTGAATGCAGGTACAAGAGAGGACTGTGCCATGTGGACAGTACACCTAAGAAAATGCTAGTGTGAAGGACTTAGCCATTGAGCAAAAATAGCATTAAAAAAATCACAAGTGGACTTGAAAATCTGTGTCTGGGAAAGTGGGAAAACCCAAATTGTTCATAACGTATGATTCACTAACTGTAACAAAATACAGTGGCCAGTATAAAAGAGGATTTCGAAGCTGCCTGTTCTTGGGTTTATTTTAGGGGCTATTTTGCATGGGGTGTCAGAGTGACCATGTAACTGATACATTCTACACCACCATTTCTGTCTTTGGGAAGTGTTGCAACTGGTATTTTAGAAATTGGCATGTCAGAACGCTGCCTCAGTCCCCTTGAATCCCGTGAAGGAGGAGGTCGGCTACCAAAAGACACCGTGTGGGCAGCGCCCTGCGTGTGGTGCAGTGGTGAGTGGGGGGGGGATGTGGATGCAGCAGCCTCACGGTGTGTGTGCTGTGCGTGGTGCATGGGGACTGGAGCACACAACGTTCCGTGAGGGATTGGCACGTGCTCTCTTTGCTTGCGCCATGGGCTGTAAAAGAGAAGGCATTTCCCGATGCCTGGAAGAGGAAACCCGTACTCGAGCGCTGTTGTCGTCAAGTCCAGCACAGAAGCTGGTGTGCTGGTGAATATTTTGGGTAATGAATTGTGTGCAGACTGTGTCCCTGTCCTTCCCCGCGTAGGAGGAGCCAGCCAGACTGAAGACGCTGCTGCGTAAGTACCGACCCATCGCTGACGAGCAGAGGGGCAGGAAATCTGTGTCAGGTAGAGCCTCATCCACAGATCTGTGGAGCTGAGCCCTGGGTGGGGAGGGGAGAATCTCCGGTTCAGTCAGTGAGGTTTGGGCCAAACCCTGAGCACTCCAAGAGACAAAGCCTCATGGCCATGCCTGATGATGTGCCTCACACCTGCCTGCAGCACAGTAAACATTAGATCACTCCTGAAACGAAAGATAAGTATTCAATCTAAGAAGCAGACATAGCAGACTTCCAGAAGAATGGCTCGGCCGCTCAGGAGGACATGTTGCAGATAAGTTACCTGTGTAATTCAAAATTCCTAAGAATATCCAATATCAGGATTCATACTTTGGTTTAAACTTATTCTACTCAGAGTACTATCTGGCGTATAAGGTAAGCTTGGTTTTGTTATAGTATAAAGAAAGGGAATTCTATCTAAAATTATTTTATCCTGTTTTGTTCCTTAATTTTTTTAACCAAAAAATGCACACATTACTGTATTCTCTTTATTTTTCTGTTTGAGTACGTCCTTTATTATTACTTTTTCTGGTAGGCTTGCTCACATTTCTTTCTTTTGCTTTGTTTCCTGGTATGAATCAGAACATTTTCTTTATTTATCAATATATGCTGGATATGCTTCAAGCTGACCACAATAAAAGTTTCTGTAGTGGCTTCTAAGCAAACCAGTCCCCAGTTCCAGGAAAGTGGTGAATGCCTACACTTGGCATTCTAAGACTTGTGATCTAAAGACCTATGCACAATCAAAGGGACTCAAATACCTTTAATAATAAGGATACATTTCCTTCATGAATCATAAACCACTGCCAAAGTATCACTGTACATGTGCATTTTCATGACAAGAGCATGGATGTAGTTGCACAGCCCCTGTGAAGGTATGATGTGCTTACACTTACAAATCCTTAATTCATGACCAGTGTGGGAAATGCATGTCAGGAGACTCAAGACATCCCTTTAAATTTGCAAATTTAGAGAAGGTGAGAGGAAGTTTCCTGATTTGCAGGTATACAGTGTGGTATCCAAAACCAATGAGCCCTTTCAAGATAGTTTACTATTAAGGATTTCAGTTCCAATCAAAAGCCTTTGAAGGCAGGCGCGTTTTCAGTCGTGAACAACCCACTGAACTCCAATGAAGCCACATTCTTGGTTTCAGAGGGGCTGTGACATGTACTTGCAGCTAAACATATGCTATCCTCAATTCTTTGATCAAGATCACATTTTCAAACATTCTACATGCAAGAAAACATGGGGTTTCTAAACTCTTAGTGCCTTGCAGCTGATGAAATGTCACAGAGTAGGATAGGTTAATCCATATAGTTCGCATGGAGTTCATTAAATCATTTTAACAAAATTAAACAGAGTTATATTTAGCTTGATACTCAGAAGTGTTAACACCCTGCTTTTAATGTGACAGATTGGATTTGGAAAGCAATATAAAACATGGGTTTCAGTGTATAGAATTTTTTATTTCCACAACTTAAGGATGTTGTTAAGACCCATGTTCCTTTTTAAGATCTATTCCGTCACTTAAAATCCAACCAGTGCTAGTTAGCCAAAAACATTTATCTTTATTAGCTTTCAGTGCTCTAGAGAAGTTAAAATGGGACCTTTTATTACCCATTTTCCTTAAAGAAGTAGTTAAAAGTAAAGACTAGCTTTGATTCTGTTGTTGGCATCGAGATTTTTTATTCATCAAACAAATTCCAGTTTCAAAAAGGAGTAAGCTGACCTTGCAAAGAAACAACATATTCAATCTATGACCAAAATAATTATTGGTATGCTTTTTTCCTCTTTTTATTTTTTTTTTTTCCTTCTTCTCTTTCTCCCTCTACCCCCCTCCAACAGGTCACGTGTATGCAGTGGTTGCAAGGGGACCACACGATGCTGGATATGATCGAAAAAAAGCGTTGCCTCTGCAAAGAAATAAAAGCTCGACAGAAATCAGAGAAAGGACTCTGCAAACAGGACAGCATGCCTATTTTGCCGAGTTGGAAAAAGAATACCGGGACCAAGAAATACAGCCCTCCTCCTTACTCGAAACAACAAACTGTGTTCTGGGACACTGCCATTTGACAGGCCTGTGGAGGATTCCTTCTCCACTGTGTTGCGCCGAGCACAGGTAGCCTGCTTTCTTAATAAGGCAAAGGCTCTAACCTAAGACTTATCTGCAGGTGATGAACTTCCTAGGACAAAAAAAAAAAAAAACCACACCGATACAGTGCTCACCTGCCAATCAAGAGAGAGATTTACGTTTCTGACTGGATTAAGGCATACGTATTTATCCAGGATTTTTTTGGATCCAGAAGATATCAAAATGTAAATATTTCGCCAATATATTGAAAAGACCCAAGATAATACACTGTTTAAATATATATATATATATATAAAAATTCAAAAATTTATGAAGAATTTTACTATATAATGTTACTGTTATACTGTTTTATTACCTATTTTCTATGTTTTCTTCTACTGTTCACCCCCGCCGCCATCATTTTATTTCTCTGACCTGCCTAGATGTGGCCTCTGTACAAAAAGCATGTGGTTGTACGTTTCGTTGAGGAGTACAATGTACAAAACAACATGGTGCTAGGGCTGTAGAAGATAACTAGAGTTGTACTTGTTAGATGTCCTTAGCTTTAGGGGGAGGGGTTGGGGGGAGGGTGGACAAAGGAGAGAGTTCTGTTGGGAAACAGTGAAACTGCAAGCACTGAAAACCGAAGTGCTTAATGTGAATGCCCAAGTTGCATTTAAAATATTAATTGCTCTGCATCTGTTTTCCCCCGTGATGTTAATCAGATAAATTGCCCTCAGTTTTATATGAATCGGTTGCTTAAAATTATTTGGCCAAGAAGCTAAATTTTCTGCAGCACAGCCTGCAACGAAAACTCTTCCTTCACTGCATTCAGTTGATTAGCAGAGACCATGGTTCACTGTGACTAAGCATTGTACAGCCCGTGACAGAGAGACCCGGTCGCTCAGCAGGTTAAGGCAGTGCCACTGCAGCCACCGTCCCTGTCCGCATTCGTCTTTGGTCCAGGAAAATAAAGGCGACAGAAACCTGTTTACATTTTTGTTGTTTTTAAATCCAGCAACACATCCTTACTTAACGCTGCGTCAGATTTCCTTGTGTCGTTCGTAAAGGCTGGGATTCAGAGCCCTTGAGAGCCGGTGGGGAAATCCCTCTTGATTTCACGCAGTTTTGAAGCAGAGGCCCCCACGTGACGTGTCCTCCCGGCTATGCCGTTTCTTCTCCCTGGCTGCTTCTGTAATTGGCTTGCTATCCTGTATTATATTACACCCATTTGAACAGAATATTATGTCATGACCAAAGAATTATGACCTCCTGGTTTTAACGGGAGAAAGAGATGGCTTATGCTGATTATGAGGGTGAAATCCGTGTGATGAAATATCTTCCAAAAGGATCTGTTGAGAACAAGGGAAACTTGTACTTCTGTGGAGTAGGAAAAAGAAAAGATCTATGGCATATATTTTGTATATTTAAATTTCTATCTATGTGTCTGAAGTTTGGTAGCACAAAAGTCCCTCTTTAAAACAATCATTTTAATATTATATTTGCCGAGAAGAAAAGGTGTGTTGTTTGAAACTTCTTGTTATATTGGCTTTTCTTTGAAATTATATTGACAGCATTGCCACTGCTGTAATTGCTGATCAAAAAAAGAACCAAAAATAACAAATTTTAGAAGGTTTTTTGTAATCTATATTGCTAAAGTTTGAGTTTGAGTAATGCTTTATCAGTAGTAGTTTCTTTTCAGCCTCTGAAATAAAGTTTTTAAATATTTTATAACTAATTAACTAATGTATATTTTGATGTCCAAACTGAGATTTCTGTAAAAGATAAAGTGTGTGTTTATATGTGTGTATGTATATTAGCATTATTGTGTATGTATATATGCATATGTGTACACACATATATATGTATATATGCATGTATCTATATATACGCATAGATGTGTGCATACGTATTTACCTGCATACATTAAATATGGGTGTGTTGTGAATATACAGTGGCTGGAGTGGGTACACAATTGAAATGAGGATTTAAAGAGCCCTTCACAGCTGAAATGGCAGAAGACATGGAAAAAAAAAAAAAAAAAAAAAAAAAAAAAAAAAAAAAAAAAAAAAAAAAAAAAAAAAAAAAAAAAAAAAAAAAAAAAAAAAAAAAAAAAAAAAAAAAAAAAAAAAAAAAAAAAACCAGAGGCTGTGAAGGAATCTTTGGATACATGTTACATCCAAAAGACACCAACTGTATATTCTGCTTATTCTCTTTTTTTTTTTAAAGAAAGAAAATGGCAGAAGGAAAACTCCAGAGATCTCGCAAAGTTCCAGAGTCTGCTGGAAAGAAGACAACTTGTTGGTCATGAGAAATCTGTTGAGATAACAGGTTCATTATTCAGAAAGTGTCAATGCTTTGTCTTCCTTGTAATGTGGCAAGAGAAGAATTTTCCATAACCATGTGTGAAATACTGAGCTCAGCCCTTTCCCCCAACTGCACGAGGTCTCTGGTGACAAAATGGAAGCTGGCATTCAGTCAGCCCGGATAGTCCTTCTCCACACTGGTCTCTTCCTGGAGAATTCCTTTAAAACCCCGCTGCTGAAGCAGTTTCACAGCCCAGACCTGCGGGCTGCAGTGCCCGGCCCTTTTTGGGGGAAGGCAGGTGTTAATGGGAACAATTCCGTGTTTGACAGTGTTTGTTCATATTGTGTCCTTTTCATATCAATACGTAATAGGAATAATGATCAGGGAATTGAAGCATTCTTGTCCTAAGCAGACTTGCTTGTACACTTAGCCCGCCACAAACCACTCCTTGTTTCGCTTTCATTGCTCAACACCGTTTGTGTTGTCCTTCCTAAATAACTGCCCATGTGCTTCCAGACCTCCATTGTATCCCATGGAAACAATGGCTTTTTGTTTCAAAGTGCGACAACATGATAAAAGTAAAATATGACTTAGCACTTACCTTCAAAGCACTTTAGAAATGTGAAGTAAACCTCACACTTGCGAGAACCGTTTTACAGAGGAGGGCAGCGAGGCTCGGGTGGAGTAGTTTCTGAAGGTCACGGACAGAGCCAGGACAGGACACGGGCCACTGACCTGTCCCGGGACTGCTGGCCCACCCCACCCCACCCCACCCCACCCCTCGAGTAAAAGGCACATCGTGCTGCCCAGAGCTGCCATCACAACGCTGTTAAACATTTCCTACACCACCTCTCGTCTCAGCAGCTTCTGTGTCACAGGGTGAATGACAGTGCTTAGTTACACACGGTCATTAAAGCTGTAGTCTGTATAAATATGCAATCTGTATATACATACAGATCACATATATACACACACTTATGAAGACTGTATATATGAAATTGTTTGGTATGCACTTATTTTGCTTTAAACTCCTGAAGGTAAACATTATAGTGTAGCAATTTGTGTAAAGTGCACTGTGATTTCAAGAAAGCACAGTAAAGTCACAGGTCTTGTTATTCTTGCACTAAAAATGTGTTTACGTATATTAGCCAATGTATGTCTACTTTATCGCTCCTTTTGACAAATTAAAGCAAATGGTATAAAATAGTATGGGTTGTTTTTTTTTTTTTCTTGGTTTAGGTTGTTTATTTTTAAGTGGACAATGGCACTATGTTTTTAAATGACAGGGTTTTTAAATAAAATGAAATCATTCTGTGTTCATTCCGATGTAATACATTTACCAATATCTTGAAATTGAATGTCATGTTGCTTTTTTTTTATATTTCATTAGAAATTGTCAGGTATGTGCCTGAGATTGTGTAGGAGTAAGGAGTAGCTAGAGGCTAACTGTAATCATATATTATTAGCCGTTTCTATATACACGGTATAAATACATATTAATTTTCTTTTCATTTTTGTACTTGATTTTTTTAGGTAAGATGTAATTAAATGTACTTTGATACTTCTGAAGTAATAAGATGTTGTTTGAAGATCAATTCTGCTTTCTTTAGTGCATTGACAATATTTTACAATAATTTAGTGCTTATTTATTTGTGCTCCGGTGTAATTATAATAAAAAGCAATAGTTTAAAATATTTGGCTGTTCATTTTTATTTGATGGTTTGAGTTAAGAGACAGGTTGTTCACTAGGGATTAGCCAGAGATTCCTGGGAAGGAAAGTCAAGTCATAGATGTATATTTATAGCATTCCCTAGGCACATTTTTAATCGCACCATTTGTTGGAGGAAATGAATTAATTACTTTAATAGGTTCATATTTGCAAGTCATGCCTGGTTGCATCTAATGCCACGAGTGCCATCCTCAACTTAATCCTTAGAATAAGATTTCTCTGAAGAGCAGACAATTTTTTCCCTAAGTACTTTTCACAGTCTGGGATGGAAGATGTTCACTTGAAAGACCCACCCCCCCTCAAAGATCTCCATTTGAAGAATATCCACAAATGGGAGGGGGACCCATCACACTCTCCATGAAGCTCCGAAATATCTACTTAAAAGTAAGCATAATCTTCCTATTTCCAAACAGAATATTTGCATCCATTGGGATGTAAAACCCAACCCTCTCCCCAGCCCCTGGTATGGATGTTCAGAGTGACTCATCCTCTAAAGCAAACTCCAGCCTTTTCTCACAGGCTCCACGTTTCACATGGAAACCCTACAGGGGTGACTAGAAATGAACAGAACACTGTTTTACAAGGATTTTTCCAGACAGAGGTTCTGTCAGTTTTTTGCATTGATGTCTGTGCTCTTCAGTGGGATAGTTCTGTGTCCCAGCTCATTTCTGAAGACTTTCTAGGTTGACTTCCAACATGCACCTCAGTCCACATGCCATACCTGACTACTGCTGGAGACAGCAGCACCTGAACAGAGAAGGAATGAAAGGGGAGGATTGCCAAAGGCAGTAGGGAGCATAAATCTGGGGCAAATTCAGATTTTTCCCTCGTCAAAATAGGTATATTCTCTTTCCCTGCCACTGCAGAAACACTTTCTATGTACCATTGTTTCTTAAACAGAAGAGGTTTAAATTAAAGGAGACAAGACCATAAAAAGCAACGGTAGAGTTTTACACTTGTATTTGCTCTAAGTTTATTTAGAAGTGGAAAGGTGCCTGCAGTGCTCTATCTTGGGTCTCTGCTCCTTTTGCATTTTAAAAGCCGTCACAATACCACTGGCTGGAGTTACTGCTGTTTCTCTGCCGCAGTCACTCGGAGTGACCTCAGCTGGTGCCAGAGTGGCTGCGAAGCAATTAAAGCACAGAGGGGCCTGTCTTGCTTGGGAACAAGTAAAACCTGCCCTGGGCACAGCAGGGAAGTCGAGCAGCCGTTAGAGGGGAGATGGGCCAGCATCCCTCAGATCTACGGCCAGCGCTGACAGGGCTGGCAAGGGAACTGCAGGAAACTAAATAAAATTTACGGAGCCAAAAGACAACTGAAAAGAAACACTGCTCAAAGGCAAGGCTGAACACATTTGACATTTATTTTCTAAACCTGCCAACATCTCTTATGGGGCCTTTTTTTCCCCTTCAAAGCAAAGTTACACACCTGTCACCTTTTAATTGAGATTTTTGGCACCGGGGTGAGTGGCGGTTTCAGTGTTTTCACCACCTGTGGCATATTTTCATCTTCTTTTGTCCTCTTCTCCCTGCCTCATTTCTTTTTTTCATTACGTGCTTTGGAACATATATTTTGTAGGTACAATAGTTCCCCTGTCATCTGTTGTTCCTGTTAATGTTGTTCTCCACCTCCCCTGTTCTCATCTGGCTCTGTTGCTCTCTAACCCTCACAAAAACACACGAGGACAGCAGGAAGAGGAACCACCATCAATTTTATTTTAGAGGGTAGCTTTTATCAGTGTTGCTCTCAATGTATACACAGCAAGTTTCACAGAGGGCTGGGAATGTGGCAGGAAACGCTGAGGTTCCATCTCCAGCACAAAGGTACCCCCGAGGCAGCAGGGCCAGGCACAGTGTCCTGCAGGGAGCTGGATCTGCTCTGCCCTTTCCGAGCACGGTCCCTTTCCCAAACGTGTCTCTCCCTGGGGCTTTCCCACCACCTTTGGAGCTGATGCCCTCCACCCTCAGAATGCAGCTCTGCCCTGAGGGAGCTTCACCTCCCCAGCTGGTGAGACCAGCACTTCATCAGGTCACACCTCCTGCTCAGGTGCACCAGGTGTGCTTTGGGCTGACAAGCTTCATATTGGGCCATCCTGTCGGCCTTAACTTCCCTCTGTGTTCTCATTCCAGTGGGGTGCAGCAGCGTGGCAGTGCCCCGTGGGGACAGAGCCCACGGCTGAGGTGGCAGAACACCTTGGGTCTGCTCACATCACCGCTCAGGGTGGAAGGGGACGCAGCTCTCCAGCACCTGTGACACCCACCAAAAGGTAACCTCCTCTGAACAGCTTTTGGTAACCATCGCAGCGTGCCCCTGCAGAAGGGCTCCTGTTTGGGAAGCAGGGAAAGCCCCCGGCTGTCAGTGCCCTGGAGCAGAGGAGCCTGCGCTTCCTCAGCAGTCGCTCCTAATTGAATGACTCTGGGCCCCGCTCTCTATGACCTTCTGCTCTGTTTAGACATTAACACCTCCGCGAAGTGGGTGTTAAATGGTTCTGTTAGTGTCTGTAACGCGTTTTTACATCCACTTGAGAAGTGTAAATGATTCTACAAGGTGCAGGGTAGTGGAAAGTCAGCTTTCCCTCTGCTCCAGCTGGCTGGGGAAATTCAAATTAACTCCTGTGGAATCCAGCTCCCACCAAAGAGCTTTTCTTTCCCAGATTCTTCAGGGTTTTTTTACTGTTCTTGTAAACACAACAACTGAATGGCTAGTGTGTTAATTTTTTCTAGTTTAAAGAGGCTGAGGTGTCCTTGGCCATGCAGGCAGAGGCATTAGTTTTCAGCCTGGCTTTTAGGCCCTTCAACATTTGTGAATTTTGTCACAATTTCTACTGAAGTATGTGGCCCATCCAAGAAACCTGAAACCAGCACTTACTTTCTTTCTTTCTGTTTGTCTTACTGTCTGTCTTTCTGCCTTTCTTTTCCTGGTTATATGGGGGATGTGGTGACACAAGTTGTATATGAAAGAAGATGACAGGATGAGATTTTCCCTGTGGTAAATATTTGATTGACCAGGCATTACCTCGAGAGTGTTGCTTCATCTCCTGAACTGTGTCAGTTAAAATTTCCACACTCACCATGGATAAGACTTTGTCCATCTCTCTTCCTGGCCGTGGTGACAGAACATCTGGCCCAATTTCCTAAAAGGTGTCTAATCTGGTGGTACCACAGAATAAGAGGGCAAATTTCCAAACTGACTGGGATCCAGCATATTCAGGGTGCTCAAGCTTGGAAGCAATGCCATCAGCCTCAACAAAAACTAGACTTCTACTCCTTGTGCAGCAGCAGCCAGCAGGAGAAAACCTGCAGAACTGTACATAGGGTCAAGAGGTTGAAAATCAACACGTGGAAGGGTAATTTAAGCTCAGGTACTACACAGTTACCACAGTCAATCCTGGAATGATCTTGCCAACAGTTGTGCCAGGGATTTACTGCTATGGACTGATGGGGACTGCGAATTTGTCCAGCTGTGTTTTCCCTTGTACTTTTGCTGTGTTTCATTTACCCAGGGAAGCTCCCCTCTGTTTCATCACTTCAGTCTATTTTTGTAGACATAGACAGAAGTACAACTCTCCAGCACGCTGTCAGAATTAATCCTCTGAATCTGTGTCTGAGAGAAGTGCTGAAAGCCCTTCATAATAACAGGGTTGGAAATGAGCTAAGTAACATGTCAGATTTTTATTTCTGCAAAAAATTTCAGAGTCCTTTACTGTCCACCTGGTTCACGAATTCAAACACACATGGTATTTTGGAACTTGATTCCAAAAGAAATTTCAAATTTTGACTAGTTTCAGTCCAATAGAAAAGCAAATTTCAGTTCAGGCTTCCCTTACTTCAATAAGAAAGCTTTCTTACTGCCTGTCTGACTTTCACAGAGATACTATTGCTTATGTTAACATGCTTCTACCACATATAAATCACTTTCTGTCCTCTCTCTGAGAAAGAATGAATAAGTAGTGTTTTCACTCAGGTTTTTCCTTCTCTGTATGTCCACAAGATAAATGAATGCTCTGTCAAGTGAGGTTAGTGGGTTTAAGGGAGGGAAACATTGTTTAGTGCCTTGGTGGGGTGAAATATAGCACATAATGTACATGTTCAGCTAGTTCAAAGCACGTTTTAGGGAAGTTTTATACTGTTTCCATGACATACTGATAGGAAATCCGACAAAATGCTGACTTTGGATTTTTGTTTGTGACAAAGTATTCACTATCCTTCAAACTGATCTTGACTGAAGAGCACTAGACAATAGAACCAAGACGAATAATTAATGATGCATTTACCACTTTGCTAGCCTAGAGAATTACACTTTATGTTTTACTCTGGACTGAAAATATTTTGTACACCTTTATCTTTGATTTATTAGACTCTTATTGTCTGATACTGTCAAAGGTAAATCAAAGCCTTAATGAGGGACCAGTGTCAACTTGTCCCACTATTTCGAAGGACATTTTAAAACTTTGGAGACCTCAGCCTCCAGTAGTCTGTTACCTCTTCTCCCCATTTTTCAGTCTAGTTCCATTTTCTACATTGTGCACCTTGCAGATGCTTTTCATATTCCTGCTATTAGCTAATTTGCTGTGGGTGTTTTGGCTTGGGTTTTTGGGTGCGAGCTCTGTAACATATTTGTATTCTCCCGTCACTCTCCTGTAAACTTGTGAAATAGGGAGTAAATTAGTTTGCTGTGACAAGGTATGGGTATATCACACATGTTCAGGTGTGCATGTATGTATACCTTAAAAACAAAATGGATACCTGATTTTAAGTGGTTGTATTAAAAAAACAAAACACCAAGAGAAAAGGGTCATGTGCCTTTTTGGCATTCATGGCCTTCACATCAAGAAAGTCTCATACTATGTTATGGGAGCTCTGGCTTGAAATGCTAATTTGAAGATGTAATTTACTTTGCTGTAGATTTAAGCACTTTTTACTTAGACATGTGAGTAACTTTCCTCGAGAGAGAGAGTGCAAGA